CTGTGTCCCCTCCCTGAGACCACTTTACTCAGTTATTATCACGTTTACTGTCCAGAGTACCTTATTCTCGGTTACATTCCCCTAGATACTGTTTCCTGACTTCCTGACATTTAGTTACATTCTCTGATCTTATCCATTTCTTACATCGACCAGGAACTTTTGCTGCCTGTCCTGACCTTTGAATTAGCCCGCTTTTCCTTTTGCCTGATTCTCCAATACTATGTCCTTGCTCTATATACTGCTCTGTTTATCAAAACTGTCTGTTTAGCTAGTAGCTGTTTGTGTTTATAGCGCACACCTGGTCTTGGCTATAGTCTACAAGGATAAGATGACAGTGTTTGAGATGGCTACATTATTTAAACACGAGCTCCAGTGTCTCACAATGCACGGTACAACACATTACTCATTCCAAATATAAGCTTTTTTTTATTTTTTATTAGAAACTGTTTGTCATGCCATTTGTAGCCTGACTCATTTACAATGTGCAGGGATGACCGCAATGATTTATCATCAGCCAGACCCAAGGGTACCTGGGAGAATGGCTCAGCCAGGTGGAGATCATTGTCGTGGGTTTGAAATGTGTCAGAGTTATTCGGACTGGAAGAGTTAAGAGTCAAGACACACACACAAAAAAAACCAAAATAACGAGGCTGCGATCCAGGCAAATAGGGAGAAAATATTCACGGAGGATTGGATCAAGGATAGAAAAAGAGCAAGATAAGAGCCTTTGATGTAGAGAGGAGGGGTGGCATCGATCTGCAATGCCTGACCTCTACGAGGGATACAGTGCAATTCTGCTTTACTACTCAGGGTAAAAGGAGAGATTGAGGAGTCTCAGCAACTGCGGGAAAATCAAGTGCTCCATTCAGACATCTTTTAACGCAGCACCCTTGAGAGTCTATTTTGCAGTGAAGTGGCGGAATAAAAGAAAGGCAGTATGGACTGCAATCACAGCTGTCAGTTTTGAAAGCACATCCACAAAAAAGTAAGAACATGTCAATGATGATTGAGACACAATATGAAATGAAGACGTGACGTTCTACATTGTGGTGAGTTACCTGTTTATCCTTGTTTATAAACGCACTGCAGAGGGGGTGAGTAATGCATGGGAATTAAAAAAAAAGATCAGATTCTGTGCAAGCATGCTGCATTGGGAGAATCACACCAGCAGGCAGCCTGTGACCCCTTGCTGTGCAATAATAGGGGTACCTTGCATGGCATTGAGGGGGGTCCCATCCTGTACTAGGGAACACATTGCTTACGGCAAGTCAGTGGTAGGCAGGAAGTGCTGCTGGAGTGTTTGTATAAATGAGATTTAAAGAAGCAAAATAAGACTTGATAAAGAAGTAGTGGATACTTGGAACAGGTTCCTGGCAGGAATGGTAGTTCTGTGTAATACAAAATATGATGTTATCCCTATGTGGTGGTGTTTTTTTCTTAGAAACAGATACACAGCTTAAAGCAAAATATCATGTTATTCTGGTTGTGTTTGTTTGTTTGTTTTTAATGTTGTCTGCCTTTTTTAGCAAGGATGCTATTTACCAAACAGTAACAGTAATTAGTTCACAATTATCTTGAAACATTTAGGTCAATGCCAGCATTGCTTTTTGTTCCAACATGGCTCTTTCAGCCGAAATTAGTTTGTTTTCAACTCCTCACAAACAGTGGTGGAACTAATGTAGAGAGAGTCCTGATGCACGTTTTTATTTTTGGGTCCCCTGTGTTGTGCAAGAGTGGCTAAAATGTACATCCTGAACTGTCGTACAACTCCTGCAATGCTTTACAGCTGGGGATCTACTGTATACCAATCCATGCAGGGTTGTATTTGTGAGGAAATATTTGATAAATAAATTTGTTTAAATGGAAGATTAAATGCTTTTGTATGGAATGTGTGCAGTGTGTTTGTACATAGTGTTTGCATTTAAATTAAATGTTTGTGTTTGTGTGTAGCGTTTGAGTGGAGCGGTGTGTTTGTATGTTGTGTTGGCATTTAAATGTAATTTTTGTATGTGTGTTGTGTTTGACTGCAGTGGTGTGTTTGTATGTAGTATTGGCATTTGAATGTAATTTTTGTGTTTGTAGCGTTTGAGTGCAGTGGTGTGTTTGTATGTAGTGTTGGCATTTGAATTTAATATTTGTGTTTGTTTGTAGCGTTTGAGTGAAGCGGTGTATATGTATGTAGTGTTGGCATTTAAATGTAATTTTATATGTGAGTTGTGTTTGACTGCAGTAGTGTGTTTGTATATAGTGTTGGCATTTAAATGCAGTTGTGTGTTTGTGTGTAGCGTTTGAGTGTAGTGCTGTGTTTGTATGTAGGTTTGGCGTTTGAAAGCTGGTTATGTGTTTGTATAATATGCTGCTGTTTAATTGCAACATAGGCAAAATACAAAAAGCATACAAATTAACCATGACCGTACCATGGCGCAAAACCAGAGTCTACAAACCTACGCGCAAGATTTCGGCATTAAGTAATCTCTTTCTCAAGGGACCAGCGTGGCTCACTTGTCTTTAATTAGTATGCTTTAAGTGCTTTGCTTTGTTATCCAAAGCATATAACCATTTGATCATTTGCATTAAAAAAAATAAATAATTGTAATAATGCTTTAGTTTGATGTGCCTCTCCTGTTATATTGGAAATGGTGAATGAGTCAAGCTGCTAATGACATGCACTTAAAGGGACACTAAGCTCTCATCCACTTCATCTTAATTTAGTGGTTTTGGGGCAAAGAAAATGTCCCTTTTTTCTCACAGTGTAAAACATTCAGACAAAATGGCTGTTTCCATTTTGCATAAAACATACGTCAGTGGCTCGCAGACAGACAGCATCTAGAGCCGCTTCCTGCTAAAGACCTGTGATTTTCAAAGGTTTTTACGTTCATCACAAGACATCACGTGCTTCAGGGTCGACGTGAAGCAATTCTTTCACCTACTCGAGGGGCCACTCACTTTTCCAGTCATGCTCAAACAGCATTAACAGATATGTGAGTCTCACAGGCTGACAGGCTGAGAACGTAAAAGGCTTTGAAGTTGTGACGGAACCAGCCTCGCCACTGGGCATTGGAGAAGACTGATTGCCAGCCTCCTGCCCTGTGACTATGGCTCCATGTTGAAATGCTGGATTTTCCCCTGCAAAGACCCGAAAGCCGGGTCATTCGGTACTTTCCCTATGTGAGCAGTGTTACCCCAGATAGCTATGCCATGGAGCCCATTCATATAACGAAAGACTATGTGAAAGACTTTGGCTCCATGGCAACTGAACTGTATGTATGTGATCTGAGCGCCATTCAGTAATAATTTGCGCTCAGATCTAAGCTATCTGGAGATATGTTGAATGTACCCGTTTTATGCAATCGCTGCACAGTTATATATTTTTATGTATTTTATTGTATTTTGCTACCATGTGGCTAATGGAGTTTTGCCTCTGTCCTTGGAGATAATTGGATTACTTCCCAATTATCTCCAGGATAGAAGACTCTGTGGAACTGGTTTTCGGCAGAAAAACCATGCTTCATTTTGTCAAATAGGACTTTCCCTTAACTTTTTAACCCCTGAACCGATTGCCCTGATTTTTGAGTATGTGTATCTTTCAAACATGCGGATTCTGAAAATGTATGTTTCATGTGAATGGCATGTATATTTTGGAAGTTATTAATATTTTGTAAAAACTGTATTTCTCTGCCTGTGATAATTATATTACCCATTGTGTTCAGCAATCATATCACAGGCAGAGGGGAGGATTTTGTGTGGGAGTGTCTGTGTGTATTGTACGGATTGATTGGTTGTATTTCAAAACCCTGTGGGCAGTACTATGTTTGTGGATTGTGAATAAAAGAGGCTGTATGTGCCAGTACAGTCAGTTCTACTTCACCCTCAATTTGGAGTGCTGTCTCTTATTGGGGGAATCTGCTACAAGGGATTGCTATGCTTGTCATACTCCTTTGCTAACTCACTACTAAGCTTTGTAAGAGCTTGTTTCTGCCTTGCTCTCTGGAGGAGTCTACGGTAGTTATGGTGTCGGCTGGAGTGCTTGGAGTCCTCAGGAAGCGCTAGGAGCATCCTTCAACGGAGGTACCCAGTCGGGGTGCCAGGTGATCCGTTACAGAAGTGATTTCCATTTCTTTTTAAAAGATTACAGATGAGATTAAGGAATTAGAATGGATCTGGCTGTGTGAAGGCAGCATGTGTGTTTATGTTTACTTTTTAAGGGATGCGGAGAGAGGTAAGTGGCTTAAATTGACGGAAATAGCGTTCCATGTGGAGTTTACTGACTAGAGCTGTAAGTGTGGCGAGGATTGCAAATTTTAGGGTTATAAGCTCGAATGGACTTATCGCAGTAGATAGAATCTAAATGGAAAAAAATTAATATATTAAAGAGATCCAGATGTACAGAGTTTAGGGGTATAGATAGATTTTAGGTACCCCTTATAGAGAAACTATCACCACTTACCTCCTGACCCTCTGCTTCCCTGCAGCCGCCCCCCCCCACCTGTCTCTTCACTGATTTGGAGGTGCTTCTCCATGCAAGACAAACCTTCTCCATGATGCTCTGAACTAACGTCACTCCATTAGCCACCGCTAGCAGCCCTGGTCCTTTTAAACGACTTGAACCTGTTAAGGACCGCGGCTATTTTGAGATCCAAGCCTTTTTGGCACATTTGCAATGCGTTCATTCTACCCCAATGTCACTCTTTCTGTTTAAGTGCAAGTGAAATATGGCTCTTTTTTATCCTACATGTATAGATAACACAATCTTAAATAGGAATAAAATATTTTTAAAATGGGGTGAAAAAAAATGATTTTTTTTTTCTCAGTTTTACATTTAATAATTTCTACATGCCAAGTGCAACTAAAGAAAACCAACTCAGAATAGATTTACTAGGGGGGTGGGAGTTATCCCGCGTGGTGAGCGGATGCACTGTAAAAGAGGTCCGTGAGTTTGCTTGTTCTGAGGAACTTACTCAGCACTAACCTGCATGACTTTCGTCCGGTTGTGACCTGTGATGTGTGGGCACACTACAGAGGGACATATCTGCAAATTTCAGCCATTGGCTGGCAGTATTAACCGAGACATCGGCCTTCTTCTCACAAAGCCCCTTTGTCCTAAAATAGTGGACCTACCATCATGCTGTCAACGGGATTCTCTGTCTACGTCAGACAAAGACAGTGTGGCTATGTCAGACACCCTGTCTTGGTCCTGCAGTAACCCCACACCAGCTGTGACAGACCAGAACCCGAATCTGGCCACTAAAACAGCCATCTCTGGTTTAATGTCTGATATTAAAGCCTTCTTTACAGCCGAATTGGCAGTTTTTAAACAAGCTCTTGAAACATTCTCTGGGCGCATTAAGGCCAATGAGGAGGATATGCAAGCTCAGTAAAACCTATTCGTTCCTTACCTCAAAAGTGGAAAAACTTGAAGACAAGACACGGCAGAGCAATATGAAGATTCAACGTATCTTTGAGAACTTCCTCAATTTATGAGACGCTTATTCTTAATGCTTATATAGCCTGAGCAAATTAAAGACCTATCTCTAGATGGACCCTTCAGGTTACCCAGGCCCCCTAATTCTCTCCTGCGAGCTCCACAAGATTTCATAGTATGCTTTAGAACACGCAGCGACAAAGTATTGTTCTTTAATGCAGTAAAGGGACATAGTCCTTTTATAACAGTATTCTTTAATGGCATCGCTACTCCCACTACGTTGAACGCTGGGATGTCGAAAACATTACGGTCTTCATCCCGAGTGGTTACACTGTTCCTGGCTAAGGACATTCTTATAGGCTAATATTGCCCCTTTACTAGGACGTAATGTCCAAACACACATATATTTGGGTCACTTTTGTTTATTGTTTATAATTTTTGCTCAATAGGTTGTTATTCCTACATAATTGTTCGTAATGGAACTCCATTATGCTATTACCCACACTAATGGGCATTGTGAATTACGCCCCCTCCCCCCAACTCCAGGGTTACAGAGAATTGATATATGGCTAATTCCTACTTGGCCTTTCACCTATGGGCATACTCACAGCCTCTTGTATTTACTGGCTAGCTAATGGTTTTTATTCTCATCTGCATTTTTAAAAATGCCTCTATACTGCTTTTATATCTGTTTAACAAAAATGGGTATATCATCTTGTCAATTACTGCTTGAATGTTTGCTATCTGACAATATTGAGTATTTGTATTGAGTACTGTTACTCACCTGCATAAAAAAATAATAAGAATGGATACACTAATTAGTCCTGATTGTTAAAATGCCCAACATGTGTAAGATTCCAATTAATTTTCAAAGTTATAAAACAACTTTTATAATAGTCACAGAATTCAGAACTGTTACACAAATGTTTATATTTCCCCCAGGCTTTGTAACGAAGAGCATTTTAACCACTTTTTATTTAACCATTTTATCACAAACCCAGGTCAAAATATTTATTTTTTTGTACTCTTTTCACTTGCTTTATTTTGGGGAAATTCACAAACCACACGTCTCACTACTGAAAATACTCCATATTTATATTCTGCTACTGTTCTCCAACCACTAATCCTACTCTTAATCCTGCCCTCAACCCCACCCCCTAATCCTATTTAAGTGGGATTCCCTCTGCTGACATGACATTAGCAGAGGGATTTCCCAGCTCACACAGTAATAGAGGACCCTGCTTGCACTCTGTACTGTGTGATGGGAGATCTCCCTCTCATGCTGTAGCTCCCGGAACTGTGATCGGAGCTGAGCAGCTGGCAAAGCCCAACACCGATCCCCTGAGTACAACAGAGTCTTTTCAGAGCCTAAGGGTCTTTTAAATGTATTTAAAAAGTCTCACTTTGAGCGCTGCAAATAGCTCATCTGTCAGTGGGGGCCACTAAGGTATCAAAAGATATCTGGGGCTCCCTGTTTTTAAACTAGGAGAAGCCTGGGTAACATTTACTCAACTGTGGTGACCATTATGACCACAGCTGACAGTGACGACCCTCAGGTATCCAAAGATACCTGGTTATGCTGTACATTGGTGTCAGCTTTCAATGGAGGACAGTCTTTGCCATCAATGGGGGTTAATGTCCTGCACTGCGTGATGGTATAGACCATTATGTGGTCCTTAAGGAGTTAATAGTTTATCCTGCCACACTGGGCACATTGCAAAGTTCTGCAGATTTAAAACAGGCCCTAACTAATAACAGTAATAATTTTAACGTTATTACAGAATACTGCAAATAATGGATGTTTTATGAAGTTAAATTGCTCATCATTAGCTTGATAATATTAAAAACAATTTATCAACTGCCAAAAAGAAGGAAAGCATTTTGGGTTATTTCAGGGAGAACGTGTATATAAATAGATTTTTGATGTTCACTGAAATCTCAAAGGTAAAGTTTATTTTCCTTTTCAAATTACATTTTTTTTTTATAACGGCACAACAAAACAATGTTGTGAAACAGAACTATAAACAATTAAAATATATCACTTTTCAATAGGAAATCACAGTTTTCTAACCTTTTTATTACTGCTATGATACACGCTGTTTGTTCACCATTCAGCAATGCTTTTCTAGAAAATCCCCACTTTGGGTAAAGTTAGATTTTTGGGGAGTGTAGGGGGAGAGGATTTAAAATTAAAAAGACAGTGGATTTTGAAAAAAATTCTGAACATTGTTTGAGTAATGTTGAAATAGCTTTGTGCTAAATCAGGGGTTCCCAACCCAGTCCTCAAGATTTAGGGGTTACCCTGTTGTGTCTAAAGTGTTTTTTTTTCTTTCTAAAAACACCTTGGACACAACTGGGCAATCCCTAAATCCTGGACTGTTGGGGGGTACTTGAGAACTGGGTTGGGAACCATTATGCTAAACAGTCATTACTGACGGTACAGGGATATTAGGTTTTGGCTGGCTGAACATAATAGGAGTTTACAAGGGTGCTGCTTAGAACCCCTGGATCTGATTTAGCAACCCTCTCATTGCTCATCCAGTTGGTGTGCTCACAATTGAAGATTATATTAGCTTTAGTGTACTAATAATCTTAATTTTAGTAATGACAGGAGGCTTCATATTTGCATATCTTTCTTTACTGAAAACTCCAGCAGCATAGAAACATAACAACCAATCAGAAAAAAGTTATGATGCCCATAAAAGGCCCTGTCTATGACATCACTTCCTCTTTCTTTGAAGCGAAACAATAAATAACAACAAGAGACATAATCATATTACGTCAACAGTTCAACAACATATTAGAATATCCAACTCCATTAGTTCCGCGATGCAGAGGTATGGAAGGTGAATCTTTGTCTCGATGAGAAGACGTTCACGCTGCAAGAAAAAGAAAAAGGTGAAAGGTATCTGGCGTGATAACTTATCCGCATACAATAGGCATTAAGCATCTGATATACCAACGAACATTAGAATGTGAAACATATCAATATATATTTATTCTAACGCAATGATATTTAAGAATCTATAAACACAACATAATGCAAGGTTCATGTCTAATATTCAGCCACTACAAGACCCACAAGATACAGGTCTAAGTAGCAAACATACAAACCATACGTACTTACCTTCCTGAACATAAAGGACATATTCTGTTCAACACGAGAAACATGGGAGGGATCCTATAGGGTGGGAAATATTCGCCTCCTGTCATTACTAAAATTAAGATTATTAGTACACTAAAGCTAATATAATCTTCAATTTTACCACATGACAGGAGGCTTCATATTTGCATTTTTAAAGCTTTGAATTGACCAATGTGAAGGAAGCATGAGATGTTTGCCGAAAATAGAACGTTCTAAACGTACTCTCTCGCGCTCAGTCCGCGCAGCGTATAATGTCGGCTAGGGAAGCGTCGGCCGAAAAGGTTTGTGAGGCCGCCGCTCCCCTGACCGAGTGGGCTCCGAAACAAGGTTCGACGCTAAAGACAAAAACCAGCGGACCCATCTGGCCAGTGTTGCGGTAGACACCGGTCCATGAGGGTTTACGTAAGAAGTCAGAAGGTGATCCGTCGAATGAGTTCGAAGGGGGTAGAGATATTGGTGTACCCCATTAGCGTTCTGACCACGCATAGTGTGGCGTCTGACACAAAGCATGGGTATGACACTGAAGACGAATCAGACTTAGTTCGTCTCGACATGGTAAAGGTAACCCCGTCTGGTGTGAGAGAGAAACCATCCATATCGCAAGCCCTAACGTCCGCCACCGTCTAAATGAGGCGAGGCATAATAAGAGGGCTAGTTTGGCTGAAAGTTGCTTCAGTAACAAACAAGGATTGTCCGGCCATTCCCTAAGGAATCTCAGCATCACATCCACCTGCCAGAGGCGTGAATATTTGGGTGCAGGGATCTCGACAATTCGGCACCCCACAGTAGTCGACAAACCAGTGTATCTTGACCTACTGGTCTGCCCTGTACCGGAACGTGCGCCGCCGACATGGCGGATCTGATCACGTTGAGGGATCGATATTACCGACCCAACGAGACCAGGTGTGACAGATAGTTGAGGATCAGTGGGACAGGTGCGGTAAAGGGATCGGAATCCCTTTCCACACACCAATCACTCCAGGCCGACCAGGCAGAAATGTAGCCTTTCCTGGTGCCGGGAGCCTATGAGTCCCATAGGAGGTCTTAGTTGATGCAATAGGTCGTGAACTGACCAGGAGCCCCTGAAGCCGTCCAGGCAACTAGTGCCAGTTGTCCTTCCATGACAAGGGAGTGGGCTTCCCCTCGAGTACCCGTCAGAAGTAGAGGGAAGGTAGGGAGTAATAGAGGGTCTTCGCGAGACATCTCCAGGCGATCCGGGAAATCACGGTTGGCCCTGCCCGAGGGGTGTCATGAGCAGGAGCGATATCTTGTGGGTGTGTGTGTGTATCGAAGCACCCTTGCTATTGTGGAGAACGGCTGGGTCGCGTTTGCAGGGGTTCATCCATCGCCCCGTATCCGAAGGAAGAGTCAAAGATCGTTTTGCCAATCCAAGTTTGTATGTGAAGTAATCACCATCGAAATTCCATCCTCACTTCCGCTGACAGTGGGATCCAGTGGTCGTATGAGTGACCGGTGCGTACGTATCTCAACATCAGTCGTAGTGGGCCAGGGAATAACGCTTGTATGGAGGAGGAGGAGGAGGAGAGGAGGAGAGGAATCCCACAATCCGACAGCTATCCTTATAGAGGCGCTCTTTGCCGTAGACTGACGCGGAACGTAGTTCTCCAAGCCGATGTCGAAACTGAGGAACTGGCCCGATTCAGATGGAGAAGTGATCTTTGTCTGTGTACAACAAAAAACCCATGGAGTCCCGAAAGTGAACGACAAATTTGTCTGCAAATGTAGCCTGGATTCGTAAAGAATCAGCAAGTCTTCCAGGTATACGAGGCATCGCACGCCCAAATTTACGG